GTTTTCCATTATTATTGGTTGTCTTGTCAAATATATATTTTAATAAAAAAGTCAGCTGATCAGTCAGTTTATTGTAATTTGACTTTCCACAATGAATAATAAAAGATTACAAAGAATTTTAAATCTAATGTCATATTGTAAGTTGTGAACATTTAGTGTCATATAATTAGAGCAGAACTATAAGTAGTTGAAATTTAGCCATGACAATGTGAATAGTTATATCTGATTGTTCTTTTAATAAACTTAAAATGAATATGAATATAAAGAGAATGCTATCGTGATAACGAAATTCTGTTAAATAATTTGAATAAATTCTTATTTTCAGTATGGGTTTGTGGAGATGGTTGAATATTTTTTAAACCACGAATCGATCAATGTTAGATCACTGTAGAAAACCTGGAGACACTGGACCGTTATTTCGTTCTATTATGGAACTCTTCAACATTACGCACCCACGAAATATAGGTTGAGTGTTCACATGGGACAAAAGGTCCCGTGTTTGAGTCCTGTGTGTGGGATAGTAGGTGCGCACTGCCGACGAATTTCATTCCAGGACGAAACGACCATCCAGTGCTTTCAGGTGTTCAATGGTGTTCTAACATTGATCAATTTATGATTTCATTGAGAACCATATTAGTTAATATCTAGTTTTGGATGTTCATTTGACGTTAGCTGAAAAGCAATGTATTAACTGCTAAGAATGATTAAACTACAAACGTCTTTTTTACTCCTAACAAAAAATACATTCTAAATAGTTCAGTTACCATCCTTTTGGTAGTTTTGTTTTATTTTAAAACAAATGAATTTGCAACCTAGTTAAGTGAACTAAATTACTGTATTTATATTTCTGTTCACTTTCTCCATGTAATGGTTTTTAGAGTAAAAAGCCAAAGTATTCACTTATCCTTGCCCTAGTAATTAGTTTCTTCAGTATAAACGGAAATAAACAAGAAGTTAGAAATATAGTTAGCATATTCTCGAAAGTGTTCTACTCCAGGTAACATGTCTGAATTAAATAGTCAATATCGAGGCAATACATACAGTATGCATATATGCCAACAAGAGACTGATCAATTACAATGCTAAACATCAATCGGAAGATTTAAGTAAACAATACCAAGTGAATTTACCCAAAGATCAGATAAATTTATTTATTATTCAAGATTCTTGAAAAAGAACGTTCTGATTAGAATTTATTTTTCGTATCATAACAATTTCAATAAATTTAACATGCTAAGCTGTAACCAGTTTCTTACAGAGTACAATGAATTATGTAATGTAAGACGAATACTATAAGTTGTGTAAGTTTGTGTTATTTTTTAGATTTTCAAATAAAATACTAATAATTCATTTTTTGTATTGGTTGTTTGAATCTTCCCATTGATTTTTAGGACTCCGACTGATCAGTCTCATATTGACATGTGTTCTTCTTAAGTGGGTTGCCTTGACATTGCCTGAAATCACAAGCATTATAGGCAAAGATAAACAGTGGCTAACAGTGGAATTCAAGGAGTGCGTTTCGTCCTACTTGAGGCTCATCGGCTTGATGTACTTGCATCACACAGTTGATGTTCGCTCCGGGACTCAAATCCTGTACGGTCCGCTTCAAATGCCATCAATAATCCACTTGGTTATTGAGTCCAAATACCCAAGATCTAAGTGGATAACGCGGTGAATTTTGAACTGGACGGTATCGAGTTCAAATCATGGAGCAAACATCAATTGTGTGATGCAAGTACATCAAGTTGACGAGTCCAAAGTAAAAAGAAACGAACGTCTTGTATACCACTGTTAGCTACAATCCATCTAAGCTTACAATGTACTAATAAGAAACGTAACTGGATAATATTTTTAAAAGACTGTTTGTACTATTTTATATAGGAATATTTCTTTATTATCTATTAATTACGCTATAGAACTATTGGAAACTAGAAACTTTTTCAATTAAAGAACAATTTAGTGAGTATTAAAATCTTTATTTACAATAAATCTTCAAAACATCCTCTAAAACATCTCTTATTTCAGCAAACTACATCTCATAGTATTTCAAGTGCAAGAGAAGTTTGGGTTTTGTTTATTCTAATTTTTTAATACTTCATCAAATGGTGAAAATTACTGTCTAAGGTTATGTTAACATTAATAGAATGTTTTAAATTACATAATTGTTTAGTTTTCAACTACATTTTTCAGTGCATACATCTTTCTATGAAAGGGCTACACCTATATATATATATACTCCGGTAATGAACGAAATGACACGCCTATAATAATTAAGTATTATCAGTGATTTATTGATTTACAAGCAATAATTTGTCATTTAATCAGTATATATATGCATGTTTGTTTGTTAGACGATGTGTATGTTCGTGTGAGTGTGTGTATATATATATGTCATACATTAACACTTAAACCACGCTTTTTTAAAGGAAATCGTTACCAAGTAACATGATAAAATATAAGAAAATATTTTATTTAAATCAAAATTGATTATAGACATATTGTTTTGTTGTTGTTTTGTTTCAAAACAGATATATCTTTGCCCAAATTACCGACTAGATTTGTATGTAATGGTTTATATAATTGTTAGTCAGAAATTTCCTCTTATATGTAAAAACGACACGTCATAGTATATATATACATAAATTCTTTTTGTTCTTTTTCTGGGGATTTTTATTTAATTTTAAACACGAAACTAATTTATTCCCTTTTTCATGTGACTCCAATTGAAATAACTGGTTATACATAAAACTACGTATATATACATATAAGAGTTGATTTGTTATTCGAAAAGTAAATGCCTGTTATTCTTTTTTGTATATTACTGATCTTTTATTCATTTCTTTTTTATTAAATTCAATGGTTAAGATCATGAGTCAGTTGAAGCTAGACCAACATGGAAAACCTGAAAGCACTGGACGGCCGTTTCGTCCTATTATGGGACTCCTCAGCAGTGCGCATCCACGACCTCGCTCCTTGCGAGATTCGAACCCAGGATCTACTGATTTCACGCGCGAGCACTTAACCACTAGACTACTGAGACAGCCGGCATCCAACGGTGTTAATGTCTAATTTCAACTAATCCACGAAATTGAGCGAATGATTTTTTTTAGAAAGAAAGAATAACTTTGAAATAATATTACTCATTATACATATCAGTTTTGAATGAATAACAAGTTTTGTGTTCCTATTAGTTATTTTACATTAGAAATTTGTATCAAAAAGTTCTTTTGATGTTTACTATATCTGAAACTATGACTGCAACAAAACTATATCATAAGATGAACTTAAACTTTCCGGTCTTAACATTCATTATAAATATAATGGTTAATGTTTTGAAATGATAGACATCAATTGATTTGTCATATCTAATCTTTAATAATCTGTAAGATCATTATCTTTCCTACTATGTTGCTTTCAAATCATTTTCAGTAAGTGTTTATTTTTGAATGATGAATAATTCAATCCATTCTAATTTGTTTTAGTTACTTTAATAAACTAGGCGTTAACATTATATATAAGGTAAACCATAGAAGCTTTTTTTGTAAAACTAAATTTATCACGTTATAAATATTCAGTAGAGTTTTCTGCTAAGAACATTATTTTAACTCCATTCCCTACAATTACATCAATCTTACGAACAATTTCTTGTTTTGTTAACAATTTCTCAGATTATCAGTAGTCAGTGTAAACTGAGAATTCATGAAATTTCTGTTGCTCATATTCAGTCAGCGCAACTCACAACAATTATTTTGAATTCACTTGGTGTTGCTTTTACTTGCATCTTCCCATTGTTATTTAGGACTGCAATTAATTAGTCTCATGTCGGCATATGTGCATCTTGTGCGGATCGACTCGATATAGCCTTAAATCACAAGCTTTTTTAAGCAAAGGTAGATAGTGACTAGCAGTGGATTTCAATTCGACTCGCCTTTTGTCCTATTTGGGACTCGTCAACTGGGGTGAACATCAACCCTGGGATGCAGGTACATCCATCAGACGAGTCCCAACTAGGATGAAACGCGCATCCTGGACTCCACTTCTGTCCACTATCCATCTTTTCTTAAAAAAGATTACTTTGAATATTTAACTTTGAAAGACTGATGTTTATTAATATTAATAAAAATTAATATGAAGTATTATTCAATTTGAATATGAATACTCATCAAAACTTAATCGAATAGTTCGACGAAGATTCGACGCCGAGTATAGAGAAGATATTGTTTGTAAAAAGTTATAATTGAAATAATCCAAGCGATCAAAATTGAATATAATTCCAATGGTTCATTCAGCAAACTCGTCAAGTTTCAGACAGTTTTCCTGTACAGAGTGTTGGAATTATTTAACTTTCAGTCATTCAGAATATTTTATATTCGTATACAATAAAATACGATTTATTAGAAGAATTAAGAAATAAATCAAATGGTCGAAAGATACTGTCTACACTATACTTTCATTTCATTCCGTTTATGAATAAGCTATATGATAAATTAGAATGAGCAACACACACTAAAAATCTAACTTTAAGATACATTGTATTGTCAAAGTTAGAAATTCTCATTTTGTAGAAGAACTGACATCAGTTGAATTTTTGTTTAAAAGAGATTTATTTCCTTCAATTATTGTCATCCCTATTGTTTGTTCCCCAAGTAAGCGATACATATATATTGAAGAGTAAATTAACAAATCTATAGGATACTATATTAAATGAAAACTGTATGGATTATTGTGATCATTTTAAAGAAATTAAACATTGAATGAATTGTGTGTGTGATAGAAAAAAAGCAACATTTTGGATATGATGATTAGTGGAAAAAGCGATCTTCTTATAACTGACAACTAACATCAAGAACAATATCGACAATAGAATTCATTGAGAATTTATTATTTAAAAAAGAACACTATTACATTATGTTATTATTCGGTTAGAGGATTTGTCTCCGACTGGTAATATATATATAAAGAAAAATCAATAGAGTCATAAAACAACATGAATAACTTACTAATAGAAAACTTAGATTGTCAAATTGTTGAGTAACTTCTTTTTTATAAGACATTTGATTCTTCAATTGATTTACATCTTCACTGAAAAGATGAGCACCTTTAGCATTTATATTGACCAATCGTATATGTTCTAAAATAACATAATAACAGGAGAGAAATAATTATGCAGTGGTAAGGTAAAAGATTTATGTTAAGATATTAGTTTAGTTAATTGCAAAAAAGAATTTACATATCTACAAAAAAATTGTTCTTTTTAGTATGAAGGTTTGTAAACATTGTAGTATTTTAATAGTTGAGTTCACGAGTCGATGTATACTAGACCTGTGTTCGAGATCGTGAATACGCACTGCTGAGAAGTCCCATAATACGACGAAAAGATCGTCCAACGCTTCCAGGTTTTCAGTGGTAGTTTAGCTTAGATCAACTCTTGAATTCAATTGTTCTTTTCACAATTAAAACTTGTCGCAATGAAAACAGAAATAGTTTAATCATGTACATAATATAAAAGAACCCTTAAATGAAAATGAGGGATTAACACTCTGGGTCAAGTTAGTATGCTTTAGATAGAAACCCTGTAAACTTATTATTTGTTACAAACATGTAGGAGGACCATAGAACTTAAAAGAATCGATTAGAAAACAGGTTTATCACTAAATAATACTGAATTTAATCAAATGACTACCATATCCATGATAATGATACAAAGTGCAAAATTCAAAACATCAAGCTACATCTATCATCTATAAATCAATGGAAGTAAAATCTTTAAATAAAGTGAAATCTTCACAGTGACTACATGTAAAGTTATTTTTAAATATTTTTGTGAAGTATAGCTTTTTGAGTCTTTTCCCCTAAAGTGAATAAATATGTCAGTAGGTATTGATATCGAAGGATATGCACTCTTCTTTTGTAGTATAATAAAGACTATATATATATACTTGTGTGACAGTATATAAACACTGAGACATCGATGTCATTATTTATAAAATACAGAAATAAGGTTCATGAAAGACAAAACAATTTATTATGACAACTATAGTAGTTGGTAAGCATTATTGAAATTTAATATTTACATCACAGACCGATCTTAGTTTGACAGCTATTGAAAAGCAAGAAGCACTGAACAAGTATTTTATTTTAATACAGAACTCCCTCTCAGTATTGATCCACGACCCTAACAAGGATCAAACCTATGACTTTCAACAATGTCGAGGAATTTGACCCATCACTCTTTTTACTTTATCTAAAACTGTAAAGTTAAAAAACAGAACCGTTGGCAAGATGAAAATCGCTCCAGAAGAAAGTGAGTTATATAAATCTTTTTACACATCCATTAACCTTTAACTCATCTAAAACAATTTGTTCGTTTTTCAGATGTAATATGAGAATGAACTGGTCCTTAGTTAGAATAAAATAAGTAATCAGACTGCTTGAATTAATAACATACCACTTGAAAGAAATGAGAGTTGGTGACCGTAATATTGTGTAGACGTGAATTGTGGGAGTTGAAATAAAGTTTTGGGACATGAATGCCAATAATTTTCATTTTTGCATTCCTCACTGTACCAGTTTAAATTTTGTAACATAATTCTAAAATTGCACAGAACTGTTATGTCCCGATAAGCATAATGAATAGTAATTTTTGGGATACATTTATGGATTAATATTATACATATACTTTTTATCGTATAACTGTTATGTAACTAAATTATTCATAGTCATGTCCCTCTTAACATGAGCCGTATTTTGACCGATGAACTATTATTATTATACGATTTACCATTCTTGAGTTATGCACTGTCTATTAATTACTACCTCCCACATTCTCAGCCACATTCGGCCAAATCTTGTAGAAATATTGTTTACTATTTTATACGTACGATGTGGTCTGTCTGGATGGTATATAAACCCAGTATGTTTGAAATGCAGGATTCATATTACAGAGGCTGAGATTGATGTTCTGGACTTAACTCGTTGAGCTAAGCGGAAGGCAGGACCAATAATCAGGACTCTAGACTGCTTGTACGGGTATTATGCGTCATTGATCCGATCGATAATTCACTGCTCTGTAATGGGCGTTATCGTGAGTTTATACATTAACTGGACACACTGGCCACAAGTTATAACAAAAACGAGGAAAAACATCAAATCAACTAGAAAAATAGTTACTAGGGGAAAATTTATAGAGATTTTCAATTTTCATATTTTACATCGATTGTTGATTTCAATTAGATAATCATTGAAAATCGAGACGTTCTAGACATTGTTGCCGTCATATCAAACAACTCCTTAGCATTAGATAACTATGATTTCAAAGGACATCAAACTGATAACCTACCAATCACTGAAAGAATATATTAGACATTCAAGCTGGTATTAAATATCTTCTCAAAATCAATTATCACTTAAATATTGACGATGAATTTCAGTACTCTAATCATAAACGAATCCACAACTACTCAATATGAACCTTATTTTAGGTAAATTTTTTATTCATATAAATAATTTTATAGATTAGATTTCTTGATGATGAATATTTGATAACAAAATAGAAAGCTGCATAAGCTAATAGTTAGACATTGATTTTTCCAATAATCATTTTATATTTCCCCTTTTATTTTTTGTTTCCGATTTTGTTTTTGAAAAAAATATAAATGATTGGAAAGAACAATAAATAACAAGGGGTAATTAATTATTTATTTAATTAGTAATTAAAAACAAAATAAATCATAATGACAACAGTTATGATCTCCAATAAAAAAAAATGTTATTTTTAATATTTATAAATGCATAGTTACAAGATAGGGTGGTGGTGGTGGTGGCGGTGGAAAGATTATAACATTTCACTAACCGAATAGTATATATTCTATTCTTGACATAGACACATAATAACACATCAATATACATGACGACTATCGACGAATATACATGGAGTTAATTGATTGACTTTTATTGAATTAAATCCAATTAGTAAGTATTGATTTATTAATTAAGATAAATCAATAATTCTAATTAATTTTTTTTATCAATCATGGTAGATAATTTTTTTTTAATTTATTAGAAATAAAGTTGATTCTAGACTGATATACGCTATCAGATCATACCTTCCATTAATATAATGTATTAGAAGAGAATTACTATCATGTTGAATAATTATATGAAAGTGTAGTGAACTAGGATACGAGTGGAGACAATTGAATGTACTTCAGCATGAAATTACAGAGCATCTTAATAAAATCTGAGATCCATATAACAAATCGTTAATTTGCAAAATATCAATCCATCATCTCAATTAGTTACGTTGCTCTGACTATGTTGCAACTTCAAAATAGTTCTCATCCTGATATAAGTTAGTGTCTCTGTAGTGAACAATGAACACAAGTGGGGAGAAATGAATGTATTCGACACGAAATTACAGAGCATCTCATTAAAATCTGATAACCAAATAGTAAACAGTTAATTTGCAAAATATCAATCCATTTTCTCAAACTTCACTGTTCGTTTTGCAAATATTAGTCAATTGTCTCAGATTTCATTTTCATACAAACTGCTTTGCGTTACCGTTCTTTCCTTATCGATCTTCCGCTGAAATACATTTTATGTCTGACCAGCGTTATATACGGTACGGATATAAGTAATCCACACCACGAAAGTACTATTGATTTTATTGACAAACAATTAATCTAATATTTTACTTCTGAATAGAGCTATAAGATTTTGAATTATTAATTATAAAATCTAGATCACTACAATATTCAAAAGTAATTTGTTTGAATATCGATTAGTCTTGACGTACTTTTCATCAAAATAAGTCATTTATTTTGTCGTTTTTCGATTCAGGAGTAATTGTGTTGTGATTTTTTGTGCGTTTCGTAATTAGTTTTTGGGTATCAGTTGAGTGCAAGATTAGCCCGATCTCTACCACCTGGTTTACTGCTCACGTTAGGTCATGTGATTGAGTCCCACTATCCAGGAGACACGACGAGGATGTGTGAGTCGGGTTTATTTATTGTCAATAGACAAAATTATGTTATACTCAAACCTTACTTGAATGTTTTATTGTAGTTAAACAGTTTAATACTCAAATATAGGATCAACTGTTATATAATTCTTATTAAAAACGAAGAACAATAGTGTTGTAGAATATCATCTTGTTTTAATATCAGAAATTTAATAAAATTGTAATAATGAAAATTAGATAGTTATTTTACTAGAAATTATTATAGTTTTCTGTTTTCTAAACTTCCTGTCGCCAAATGTTTTATCCATATTGCTTGTTACTTGGACTTGAAATAAGGAACTAATGAAACTTCCATGACAATGATTCTATACAGAAATGCACTAACTTATGTATTGATTTGTGCACACTTGATTATCAATCGGTAATAAATGTTACACATGAAATTACTGCGAAATTACACTTTGCATGTTATGCTGACCATAGTTCAGGTTAATTTAATACAAGAACTTCAATAGTTAAGATCATGAGTCAATTGTAGCTACACCACTATGGAAAACCTGAATGCACTGAACGGCAATTTGTCCTATAATGGGACTTCTCAGTAGTGAGCATTCGTGACCCAGGACCTATCAGTTTCGCGCGCGAGCGCTTAACCACTAGACCACTAAGCCGGCAAGCAACGGTGTTAATGTCTGACTTCAACTAATCCAGGAAATTAAGCGACAACTTCACCATTATCATCAATGATTTACTACCTCACTAAAGACCCAGTTGAAATCCACTGGTAACGGCTTCTCACTAGAACTACAGGATATACATCTCGAAGCCAGCCACTACTGATACTATTATAAGAATATCATATCTTAAACAAACAAACCACACAATAAACGAAAGTATTGTTAGACATGAACCACAATGGGTTGAAAGTGCTTCTTTTCTAATCATATCAGAAACGAAGATGTAAAATATTGAAATAAACAGTATAATTAAAATAAATTCACCATTTGATGAAGAAATTGAAGCCAAAATTAGTGCTAAACACAATTATAGACATTGACAAGGTAATCAAAAATGATGGGAAATTTAAAATTGTTTGATTGAGATCATAAACCGATTGATGTTAGACCATCACAATTGAAAACCTGGAAGCACTGGACGGCCGTTTCGTC